TACCATCTGTACATGGAAATAACAAATGAAGTTTTACTCTTGTGTTGGGTTTCCACCATGATCTCCAGCCACTCGTCTCACAATATTAGTCTTCCATCCTACAGACACACTACTCAAAGGTCTGTACTGGTGTCTTTAAGGTTGCTGCCCTGGCTTTATATCAGGATTCATCTTAATCCATCTCTTTCTGATCTTTCTAATTAAAACTTCCCACCAAAGTTTACCATTACTTTTCAGGCCCTTGTTCTTCTCCATTGTATATATACTTATTTTCAAAGTCCGGCATTAAGATCCAATATTTGGGGATAGTGCGCCGCTTGGGAAGCGTGGTGGCGCTCCCGCCCGAGGGTTCGGATCCCACATACGGACCAGTTCCCGCTCACTGGCTGAGCGAGGCGCGGGAGCAACACTGAGGGTTGCGATCCCGTTGCCGGTCCCCGGTCCGGTACGGGGGCAACACTGAGGGTTGCGATCCGTTGCCGGACACGGAAAAAGACAAAAGACAAAAAAAAAAAAAAAAAAAAAGATCCAATATTTGACCAAATAGACCCACATTTTAAGATTTTACAGGATTTCTCATTCTGGGAAGCAGTATTCCTCATCTTCTCTGCCTATACCAGTCCACCTACTCTTAACTATTCTTCATATAGTGTTCCCTCTACATAGTTTCCAGTCTCTCCCCCTCTTTCTTATTTAATCATGATCTTTGGTATAATTATGATGCCACATCCCTCCCGTCAATACCTGCCAATCTTCAAATGACCCCATTTCTGCAGGCTCTTCCATTCTTTTCCCTGATTGATCTTAGATAAACACCTATTACCTACACAGTCATTTTTTTTTAGTTACCATCTTTATATCATTCTCATGGATTCAGCAGTCTTTTCTCATATCTTCCTTGTATCCTCCACACTGTTCTGAGTACATTTGCACTCTCAGTTCAGTCCAGAGCTTAATAGAGTTCCTGCCGCTGGCCTTGCCTTCGATCTGTCCCATTTTGACTTCTTGGCCTTTCACTCTATTGGTCACACTTGTTGCTTCAAATATCATTCAAGCAAGTTTTCTCAGATGGCACTCCCTCATAACGGCAATTCTTATTTAGGCACTTTCTCTTCACATTCTGTCTTCTTCTTTGGTTGTAATCTAGCTTAACTCACATCTCTACGGTATATGCAACTCTGCCATTTTCCAGCATTGCTCATTCTGGCCCCTTTAATGCCCTTCCCTACCCACACTTTATATTCTGTACCCCAGCCGAAATCCCATATCTTCTCACCTTTTTTACCTTCCAGCTTCTCCTCTTCTCCTCCTGTGTGACATTTTCATACAAGTCTCCCCAAGAAATGTCTGTCACTTTTAGCCAATCCTCACATAGCAGCGTAACTTCTAAGAGCAACTTTAATGGCATACTATGCAATAATCAACAATATCTTAACTATCTGTCATCCGTTCTCTTACCATCTCTCTGCAGAAAAAAAGTGAATTCTTCTCTTCATATGTACTTTCTTCCTCATAATCTTCACCCATTCCCTATCTAATAACAATAATCCATTCATTGGACTACCTACCTACCTGTTCACACCTCCTAATAAGTCAAGCCTAATATCTCTAAAGTTGCCAGCAACAGCTTTTTATCAATGTTAGATCAATCAGCCTCCTTATAAACTTTCCTATCAACCAAGTCCTTAAACAGTTTCCCTCCAAAGCTTCAGGAGCTACTCTACTGTCGTCTCCTATTCAAGTCCTTGCTTCTCACCCTTTCTATATATTGCCCATACAACACAGCCTGTATACCCAAAGTGTGACCACTTAGACCTAGCTTGAGCTGACAGGATTCTCCATTCTGGGTTTTTATCCTGTACCTGTTCTGCCTGTGGGCCCTCCACCCTACAATATTCCCTCCCTTTCCTTTCCTTCCAATCTGTCTTTTCTTTCTTATTCCCTCATAATTTTTGACTCAGAAATGCTGTCTTATCCTTCCCCTTGATGCCTGTCATTCCTCAGTGATTGACTCCTTTTCATCTGAGGGTAGCTTTAAGGTTGCTTTTCCATACTATTCCTCCTTTCCCCTATATTGTCCTAGAGAAAAACCTTACTTTCAGCATTGCTGCTACCATTCGTGTAGCATTCCCACGGACTCAACATTTCTTTCTGGGTAGTTATATACTCCTCAGTTTTGACACTCACTGCTCATCTTCCTGATGTCCTACACCGCATCCATTCCTTCTCAGTTCAGCCCAGACTTAGGTGGGTTGGTGCAGTTAACCTGGGTTTCAGATCCATCCCTTTTACCCTCATTCTAATCTTTTGCTCCACAGACACACCCTTTGCTTTAATTATCCCAACAGAGCTTTCTTGGATCTCCTTCTAACCCCATTTCTTATTTAGTCATGGTCTCCTCTCCCTACCAAATTGAGACCTGGAAACTCCCCACCAAATTCCCGACTCTGCCATTTTGCCACACTGCATGTTCTGCACCCCAGCCCAGTTCACACATCCCTTTCCTTACTTAGCTTCCAGCACCCATCTTTTTTCTAATTCACTGTATTCTTTTCAAATAAATCTTCTCAGTAGTTGACTCATTTTCAGTCAGTTCTCACAAGACAAACCTCATTCTGAGGAAAATCTAATGTCAACCTTCAAGGCATTCTTTCCTTATTCCCTTCGGTAACTTGCCTTGCTCTGTTCATGAAGCGCTCAGCTTTGTATCATGGCAGTGGATTTAGTATTGTTCTCTTGCTGTGGAAGGGCCCCCCTCACTTCCTCTCCTCATTACCCAGTGTTAGTAATCCTCTCTCGCAGCAGTGACAGATAACTGTCAGTGGTTTTTATTGGAGTTCACCTTAGATTCCCTGTAATATCTCTGTTTCAGCCAAGCCATTTAATTAAATGTTTGCCACAAAGATTTCAGGAACATTATCTCTATGAAATACCATTCCTGTTTACTTCCTTAATCCATTTCTCTGTATTATATATTTATACAGAATTGTCTTCTGTCTTTATTTCTACATAAAATTCAACCAGTTTGTCCCAATCTGTGATCCACCACTGTTCCTGCTTGTGTCTCCCTTTATTCCTCTTCATTTGTCTACAGTCTCCCTGCTTAATCTGAACCAAACTGGGGTTCATATAGTCTATTACCTAATGTCTGTTCTGACTCTTCATTCTTGTTCCTACCATAATCCCGTAACTTTCATTTTTTTTAACCTTAGCTGACCTGTTCTGGATTTGTGTTCACTTCTACTTCTTTCTTTCTTCTCTCCCCTCACTGCTGAAGAAAAATCCTACCTTAATTTAACCACAGTCATTGTTTCATCAACCCCCTTATAAGCATTGAAATAAATTCTGCAGTCCTGATAGGTACACTCTTCCCAAGAAGGGTTAACCGACTACCATCATCTGTTTTCAACATATTCTATTGAATCTATCTGTTCTCTGAATTCAGACCCAGTTTTCATAGGATTCCCACCAGTGGCTTGTATTAGAGACTATATTATCTAGCTTATGTCCTAACATTTCGATTTCTTGACTGCCTTGGCTCACTAGAGCCTATTGGAAAATAACTTGAAATACAAGGATTTCACAATTTGTTCCTAAACAAATTGTCTTCTCAACACCTATGCATTAGCAGACCTCTTAATGTTTCCACCTACCCCATGGACTTTCTGGCCTCTTTCCTTTTGCTCATACACCTTCCTCTGTTTGCCAAAGCTCTCATACCTTTTGAGATCCAATTAAACTGTTATATCCTTTCACAAGTTTTACAATTTTCCCAGGCTGTTAATCCTGCCCCCTCACACAGCACTTCATTAAAACATATGTAAGAATCTTCGGCATAGTTGTAATGTCAGATAGATAAATAGATCTCCCCCCTGCCCCCCCCCCCATTTAACTCTTACAGAATCAGCTCTTGAAGACAGAGGTCACGTCTCAGTCTTTTTATCTAAGTTTCTGGCACATTAGCTTACGTCTTTACATGTAATATCAACATCTGCTAAGATTCACTGCATTTGGATGGATGGATGGATGGATGGATGGATGGATGGATGGATGGATGGATGGAGTGAGTTTAAAGTTAAGACTGAGCAGATGAAATTCTTACTACCTAACCTATCATATATGGTCTTTACAGCTATGTCTGTTATCTCCTTGCCTATCCCCCAAATAACTTCCTAACTTCCCAATTTCTAATATTTTTTGTACCGTAAGCCTTTTCCCGGCCACGGATTAGACCCTAAATGCTTTTTCTTCATTCACGCCTGCTAAATCCCTTCCTTTAAACAGTTCATAAAATCCTGTCTTCTTCATGAAGACTTCACTTTCCAAAAATGTGCCCTCCACCTCTGTTTCTTATTACTTTCACCAGTCATCTTAAAACATGTAATTGCCCACTTGTTTTTACATTTTAAGACACTTTATATTTACTTACTTTACTGGAAACTCATTTTTTACCTACTCACTGCAGGTTGAAATTTGACATAAAGCGAGTTCATACTGGTGATCTGTGGACTGATTGTTAGTCCACAATCTAAAGATAGTATTATTGAATCTGGTGTGCTTGGTCAATATTAATTTGATGATCTGTATACTTTTTACCGTATTTTTGGCTTTGTCGGGTCCTAGAGGAATGGTTCTTTTTCAGCATATTTATTTTCAACATATAGGCCCTTTTATCAGGCATGGCAGAAAAAAAGCCCCCAAAAGTATTTCCCCTGCTGCTGTCTTCATACCAATACAAAAACAGGGTTTGCCCATGTCATCTTTTCTGCAGTCCTAACCCACAGGCAGAATAGACTTCAAAGTCATACCTTGTGAGACTGCCTTTTTAACCTACTTGCAGGCTGCTTTTGAGAATCACTACCCTATAAAATAGGGCATGCATATATTTAACTTTAACATGTGGAACACCGTGCTGAGTATAAATGGTGCTTCCTAGGTAATGATGGAAGCTTCGTGCTTGCACTTCCCACTGACATGGGCTTGCTTGCTTTCTCTTCCAGTTGCAGGCACCTTTAGCTGCACCATGAAGTTTACAGTCCGGGACTGTGACCCTAACACTGGAGTTCCAGATGAGGATGGGTATGATGATGAGTATGTGGTGAGTCTTCCCTGCAGAGACTTCTGTAACACCTTTGCAACACTAAGTGCCTTGAGAGAACAGTTTTCTAGGAACATCTGACATAAACTTATGGGATTTGCATTCTTTTCAAACAGATTACAGCTGGGGAGTACCTGGACTATTCCTCTTCTGTAACAGTATTACATCATGCCAAAGACAATTGAGATTTACTACTTCATAATTAATTATAATAAACTTGCCCTTTTTTTCCTTATAGTAGGGATAATTAAGAGATGAAAGTACGTGATTTTCATTGAGATCAGTTTTATTTAAAGTAGTTTGCTTTGTTTTTTTTTTTTTTTTTTTTGGTTGTGTTTTGGGTTTTTTGCTTCAGCAAATTTTACTTTGCTTATAATATAGCCAGAGCATGGACTAAAAAGCCTTCACAGAATGAAGGGAACCTTTTAAAAATATCAACATGTTAATAATGATGGTACTGTATGGCCTGAACTCAGTGGTGAACTCATGTGGCAACATGACTGTTTTGTACCTCAGGTCTACAGATGTTGATCTGAATTTGGCTCTTGCCTTTTTTAAAGTAGTTTGCTTTTTTTTTTTTTTTTTTTTTTTTGGTTGTGTTTTGGGTTTTTTTGCTTCAGCAAATTTTACTTTGCTTATAATATAGCCAGAGCATGGACTAAAAAGCCTTCACAGAATGAAGGGAACCTTTTAAAAATATCAACATGTTAATAATGATAGTACTGTATGGCCTGAACTCAGTGGTGAACTCATGTGGCAACATGACTGTTTTGTACCTCAGGTCTACAGATGTTGATCTGAATTTGGCTCTTGCCCAGTTGTCCTGTTTTCTTGCTTTCATTTGCTAAGTAAGGCCTACAGCATTAGATTTATCTAAACTACAGAACTTAAACTATTTGGGTAGTAGAGTTTTTTTCCTAGGCTCCTGCATGGATGTAACACCGTATTAATGATAAAACCATATTAATTTGTCTTTTCCATCTTTGTTCTATATAAAAAGGACTTTTATTACTGACCTCTGCTTGTTATCCACTAGCTGGAAGACCTTGAAGTGACTGTGTCTGACCACATTCAGAAGGTACTGAAGCCTAACTTTGCTGCTGCCTGGGAAGAGGTGGGAGATGCCTTTGAGAAAGAGGAGACCTTTGCCCTCAGTTCTACCAAAACCCTTGAAGGTGAGAACAATTTTGCTATCAGTTTATTTCCTGATAGCAATATAAAACCTAATGTTTGTTATTCCAGAAGAACTCTGTTTTCTTTAAATACTCATAAATCATTTACTTAAGAGGCCAGGACCCTGTCTTCATCATCTAATTGAGTCAACCATTTTCTAGTCCAGTGGCCTCCCTCCACACACTACCACCAACCCCTTCCAGCCCCAGCTCCCAGCACATACTGGTGCAGAGGCAGACCCCTACACTTAACTTTTCTAATACTGTCGCATAAATCTCAACACAGAAGCTGTCAACAACATCATCACATTTCTGGGCATGCAGCCATGTGAGAGGTCAGATAAAGTACCTGAGAACAAGAATTCCCATTCGCTCTATCTGGCAGGTAAGAAACTTCCATCAGATTCCTCTTATATTTTGCTGCAAAACTAAATAGGAAGGGATGTGGATGGGCACCTCATGCCCTGCTGTTGTCCCATCATCCCATTATATCAGTAACAATTTGAAGCCCAGTCAAAATGAATAATTTGTTATGCATGCTATTCTTAGATTTTTCTTTTAAGATATACAGTTGGCCTAAAACACTTATTAAATCTCTCCCACAGATACCAGTGCCACACCACTCCTCTCTTTTGGGTACTCCAAATCAATTATTGAATACCTTCTATGTACCTGGTCTCATGGGAATATAAAAAAAAAAAAAAATTCAAAACTTATATGTAGGATTCAATTCCCACAAATCTCTAGAAAAGCTAAACTAAAATAATAGAAAGGAGATGCAGGCAGAGCATTATAAATTTCATTATTCAGAGCTTGAGTTCTTAATATGGTTTTCCTCACTCTTTCCTCTCAGGTGTATACAGAGGTGGCTATGATTTATTGGTGAGGTCCAGACTGGCCTTAGGAGATGGAGTGACCATGCAGGTGACCGTCAGAAGCAAAGAAAGAATACCAGTAGATGTTATCTTGGCTTCTGTTGGATAAGTTCTTACTGGGCAAGAAGTTGATGCACACTCCATTGTCAGTGGGCTTTTAGGCTAGTGGCATGAATCTCCCAGAATCACACTTTTAAAGATTAATGACTTTGGAGAAGCAAATTAAACATTGGGCCCTGAGCCAGCAGATCAAGCAAATGTCTGTCATTGTGCATGGGTTGGTTTTGTTTTTGTTTTCTTTGTTACACTTGGTCAGCTTTGGTATGATAGTTCAGCTTTGGGTGATATTAAAAGTCAATACTATCCTATATTCTAGCTGCTTAACTTCATTATATTCTTTAATTTAATGTGTGTCTGAAAGCTCCTGGCAATGTTGGAAGTTTTATCCCAGAGGGATGGTGGGGGAGGGGAAGGCAGAGTCCATTTTTGTCACAATTCATTTTTATTAGTAGAAAATAAACACTTATTCCAGTTTCAAAGTTGTTATACTTGAAGTTGCTAATAAAAAAAAATGAATTTAAAATAATCACTTAATAATCCTGCTTTTGACTAAGATGATGAAAACTCTGTGGCTTAAAAAAAAGTGTTCAGCACCATTTGTTCATAGGTCTTTCAGAATTTGTTAAGTTTCTGGAACTTTCCTGTCTATAACGTACAGGAATTGCTGAGCTACATGAGAAAGCCTCTCTCGGACAGACAATGGGAAATTAAGCAATCATCATAAAAGGAATCAGTATACATTTACATGGTAACTTGGACTATTCAATGATCCCCTCCCCTCCACTTTTGCTCAGGAGGGACATGCTTCTAAGCACTGAGGTATAAGGAGTCAGATTGTTATTTACTGTTAGAATTGGCCTTTCCAGCTAATAATAGTAAATCTCTTGCACAGATGCTACTGGTCCTTAATGTCCTGTGATTTTAGGAAATTCTGTAAATAGTTTGGATTTAGTTCAATTTATTCAGAAATTAAACATGTTTAATAAGGTTCACTACTCTGGCAGAGTAAGGGTCTGCTAGTTAAGTATCCTTATAAAATATACCTAACGTGTAGGTAAATCAAAGTCTTAAAGCATACTGAGAATACTGCATTATTTGAGCCAATGTCTACTTTAACAAAATGTCTATAATTAAAAGCAGCTAATGAAACTAAATCCAAAGTTATGACAAAGGAGACTCACTCTCACTTGAAGTTGTGTTGCTTAGAGAACTTTAAAAAAACATATGCCTTTAAAGCCACTCAAAGAAAGTTAAGGAGGCCCCCTCTCCTCATCTTTACTGTAGGATTCCAGTTGGGATTGGGCCAGATATTAGTATTTCCGAATATTTCAGCAAAGTCCATAGAAGCATTCAAAAGTCTTTTATGCAAAAGAATGTCTGTCTCTCTGCATCAGAGAGTAGTAGTGCTCATCAGAATTTCTGAATAACACAAGTCCATACACTTGATCAGATGTCAATGGAATGGGAGATGGACTGTTATGTCAACCCTCAGTCAGAGCTTCTGCTTGCTATTTCCTATACACTGTTCACCAATGTGAGTCAAGTGTACTTTTGTGAGAGAATGGTATTTGATGGCCAGGACCTCTTTTGGGCATTTCTTACTAAGTGGAATACACAACAGATAAGGGAGTGGAGTAGGGGAGGTAATACAGGGTAGCTACTCTTTCCAGCTCAGAAGGAGTTGATGAAGCCCATATATGCATTCAAGAAGCCCATGGGATCCTCTAGCTGTGGATAGTGGCTAATGTGGTCATCCAGAATCGACACTGTGGACCGCGGCAGCGTTTTCCTAGTGGAAGAGAACAGCACGTAGGTGAACTTGAGGCTGGAGGGAGGGGAGGGGATGTAAGCCAGTGGGAAGCCCCAGTAAATGCCCCTGCAGACATACCACACTGGAAGGAACCAACAAAGAGCTTATTTACCTTCTACTTTGGAATTGTATCTTAGGCAGATAAATTCGCAATTCCATTTATACAGACTAGTTTTTAAACATTCGTAATCCAACGGACAACTTGAAAACGTAACACTTTTGCAACAATTGTCAAAGCAGAACGACTTTCAGCTCCTTAGAGAAGCATAAAGCATCAAACAAGTAGATTATTCAGCAACTCACTGCCCAAGCAAAGATAACAAAGGACCTTCCTTAATCCCAGGAGATGAGAGAGGGTATTTTGTTTAAAATTATATGCAAGCTGTTTACTACTGGGTTGTGTCCACTAGGCTGTATGAAGGAATGGAACATCCTTATGTGACACAATCAGTCATGATTTCATATTCCAACACCTTCCAAGTTAGTATCTAGAGAGAATAACAACCAATGAGAAGGCACCTTTCCGCAGTGAGCTCTTTTCAGTCTCTCTTCTCAATCTCTCCTTGCAGTCTGCTTGCTTAGGTCAACGAATTAGCTTTACAATCAGACTAAAACAAACATTTCTTAAGATATATCCACTTACATTTTTTTATTCACAAGATAGCTTTTCTTACCTGTACACCTAGGAATGTAGCCATGACAGTGAAAACAGACTATAAAGCAAGAGAATGTATAACTGAATTTCTTGATCTCTATGTTTGTGAGAATAAGATTGGCCTGACTTATCTTTTTACTATGTTTCCTCAATGAACAGCCAGTAAGGTAAGAGACAATGGCCAACAGCCCTCCACAGGTAATTCTATTTACCATTGTCAGGATGAGATACTAACAAAACAAAAGCTCACCTGTACAGCTCCAAAAACTCTGGATAGGGATTTACAGGATCCATTGGCCCATAGATAAAATGAACTAGGAAAAAGAAGAGTAATGAATTACTAATAGCTCTCACATCTATTCTCCTACTCCTACCCTAAAATTCACTCTCCTCCAAGAAAAAAGATTATCTGTAAGTAAATTTTTTTAATGATACCAAACCCAGCTTTTTTATTAGGTAGTCTATAAAAAACTGCTGGAAACAAGCCAATTAGTTCATTTGCCACATTTTCTCCTATACACAGCCATTTGGTCCCTCCTCTAGCTCTTCTGTGCCCTGGACCAAAACAATTAAGCCCCACTTTCAGCATTTTCTTTTCTATAAATCCAGGATACTGTCATTCTTTAGGTCTCTCTCTATAAATGACCCTTGACATTTGAAATCAACCAGTAATCTCCTAGCACTAACTACTATGTGTGAGACACTGTATTGATATTTTTTTCTTCAATCTGTAAGAATGGAGAGAGAAATGAGCACAAACCACCTATAACCTCTTGATTAGTAATCTAAACAGCCTTCTGTCCCAGCAATTCAGCATCTAATGTGACAGTCACTGACAACACACCACAGAAACCGGTGATACCAACTACATTTGCAATAACGTCTCAATGTTTTATATACTTCACTCTACACACACATCACTGGTGTTCCAGATGTTGGGAGTAGGGTTGCCAGTAAAATAAAGGATGCCTAGATAAATGTGAATTACAGATAAAAAAAAATGAATTGGGGTGGGGGGTGGAGTATAAGTATGTCCCAAATATTGCACAGCACATACTTATACTAAAAAAGTATTTGTTGCTCATCTAAACTTCAAATTTAACTGGGTGTCTTATATTTTTATTTGCTAAATCTGGTAACCCTAATTGAAGGTGATAGGACTTGCAATTATTTTAACCCTATAGTCTTTCAGTTTTCCTATCAAGAGATAATATAAAAATACTCACTGGGAATAGTTACAGAGGCAAGAGCTCCAACCCAGCGTCTTCTAAACTTCTTCCTCTGATTGATGTACTGTAAGAGACTATGGGATAGAGAAGTCAGCAGGGGCAGAACAAGAAACATTTATTTCCTGTATTGATATGGGGATTCAAATGCCTGACATGAGACACAAGGAACATGTTTTCTTAATCCCAGAAGCAATTTGGCATTCCTGGGAATGGCCCACTTAATTTATCTATTTCTGTTAACCTTTATACTTAACCACCATATAGCTACATCAGTGACCATGCCTATTATCAACGTAAGCATTAATGGCTGTGTGTTTATTAAGCAGGGAATGAGATCTAGGAAAGCTGAAAGTTGTTTTGGATTATATACGACTAAAGCCCAAGTCTAAGGTTCTTTTTTTTTTTTTTTGTTTTTTGTTTTTTTCCGTGTCCGGCAACGGATCGCAACCCTCAGTGTTGCCCCCGTACCGGACCGGGGACGGCAACGGGATTGCAACCCTCGGTGTTGCTCCCACGCCTCGCTCAGCCAGTGAGCGGGAACCGGTCTGTATGTGGGATCCGAACCCTCGGCGGGAGCGCCACCGCGCTTCCCAAGCGGCGCACTATCCAGTGTGCCACCGGGCCGGCCCTAAGGTTCTGATTTTTGCTCCACCACTCATTAGCTCTGTGACTCAAAGATGTAACACACATCTTTCTACCTCAGTTTCCTCTTTTTAAAATGAAAGGATTAACCTACATGACCTCTAGGTCGACATCTAAAACAGCACAAAGCTTCAGCCTCTGCACTTCATCTGACTACATGAATAAATACTGCACTTTATCTGACTACATCAGATAAAATGGGGTGAACGCCTCTTCCTACAGTGTAGGTCACATTTTAGAACTCAAATTCAGGTGTTATTGATCTTCCTGGCAACACCAGGAGAGGTATTTTTGTGAACTTGAAGTATTACCTCTTAAAAACAGTATTTACTTTTTTGGAAAGGAAAATATAAAAGAATTTTAAAGGACAGTCTTGTTTTTCAATTTTTTTACATTTAAATGAATCTTCAGGAATCTCATGGGGGTTAGGAGTGGGGAGGAGGAATGGGCTCCCTCAAATGCACAATTCCTAGTATAGCCATCAGTTAAAACACCAGAAGCTACACTAACCTAGCTGGCAAAAGGACAGGGTCTTATCCCAAGTGGTTACAGATATCACCATCACTAGATTCCTCTATGAAAGCGCAGCTACATTCTCATTTGAACCAAGGCATGGGAATTCTTTGTAGAAGACAGACAAGTCTTCCCTCTCAGCCCCTGTTGCTACAGAAATGATATACAAAAGGAAGAGTCTTGTACTTTTGAGAGAGGCACTAACCTCCTTTTACAACTAAGATTAAACATTTTGAAGCATTTAATATTAACAAAAAGTCCAAAGAAGGATTCACCAAAGTCAATCAGCCAGTTAGAAACTGAATTAGCAGCTGTTTATCCAAACTTTTTGTGCCACACAGCTTAGGCTCAGGGCACACTCTATTCTCGATTTCTTTCTTAGAAAGTACAGGCCATGACTGTTTTTGATTTGCCTCCTAGGTCATAACCAACCTTCTTGTGATAGGGAACAAGCCAGCAAGGAACAGAACAGCTATCCTGTATCTTTCTCCATTCTCAAAAAAAAAAAAGCCTCTGGAAGCCAAAGCAAAGGGTTATTTCTTACCTGTCGATGACTAAGTTCCCATCGTTGTTGCGGATCCCTGCCCACATGTCCCACAGCTCACTTTCAGAGGGTCGGGTATATGGTCCAAAGACTGGGGTAAGACTGAGAGAGTCCAAAATGCAGGAAGATAAGTGTAAGGAGAATTCAGAATGTTAAATATGACTGAAACCTCAGAGGTCATGCGGTCTGACCCTTCACTGATTTATGAATTCCTTCTACTACTTCCCTGGCAAGTGTACAACACCTTTGCTTTAAAAATCTCAAACCCTACGACTTGGCCCAGAGTTGTAATGGCAGCACCTTTTCACTACACTGTTCCCAGGCCATAGTCAATCACTGACAATGACTTACCCTCGAGAGAATACAAAGAAATTCATCAACCGAGTGAGGATGGGTGACAGCACGCCTCCATCTTTGAGTAGCTGTAAGTAAATAAGTGAAAGTAAATATCAAGAATTCAGTGTAAGACAACTCACAAGGACAAAAGATTTTATACTAAGAACTACAAAAGGTCTTTAGCCAAATCTCTTTCTACTGAAAGGTTTGGTACTTGGCTTTTTGGTTTTTGTTCTGCCTACCTACATTCCCTCTCTCATCGAAGACAAACTTTTTTTTTAAAGTTTTATTTTATTTTTGACAAGTAATAATTGTATATTATACCAGGGTACTTCAAAAAGTTCATGTAAAGATGCGTATTATCTTTTAATTCCATTTTCCCATGAACTTTTTGAAGTACCCTTGTATGTGGGTTAAAATATGATGTTTCAATAGACTTATACATGATGGAATGATCAAATCAGGTTAATCAGCATATCTATCACCTCAACTATTTATCATTTCTTTCTGGTGAGATCATTTTAACTGTTTTGTAGTTAGTAGTTAATAATGTATATTTCAAAATAGCTAGAAGAACAGATTTTAAATGTTCTCATCACAATCTATTACTAATTCCCTTTAAGATTACATTTCTACACTTCACTAAATCCCTGAGTTAGCTCTGAAATATTCAAGTTTAGACCAGGATACCAATTTGTTCAAACATCATGCTCATGACCCAAATATTTCCAAAGCTGTATTTCTCTAAGTATTTGTTGACCTCTTATCCTCAATAATAGTTTTGCGTTTTATGTAGGAACCATTTCCATTGCTGTTTTCTTAAGAAGGGAAAAACTAACTTCATTAATGTACGTTCATGAGAAGGAGGATTTTAACTACAGCCCATTACAACAGGTACGGCCCTTTAAAAAGTCCCAGCATTATTGACGTCAGCACAAATCTTAAACCTGAAGACCTATTCAGTGCAGTAGCCAACCTTTTGGAGAAGGAGAGGACGGTGAGTCTCAGGAAAGATACCTGTAGGAGAAGAGGGGACTTATCTTAACCATTTACCAGCTTTAGGTCAAACACAACCGCATTACTGGAGACTATCCACCCTATTCACTTATTGCCGGAAGGAGAGGACGGTGAGTCTCAGGAAAGATACCTGTAGGAGAAGAGGGGACTTATCTTAACTATTTACCAGCTTTAGGTCAAACACAACCGCATTACTGGAGACTATCCACCCTATTCACTTATTGCCGTTGGGGCCTTTACTGCCAAAATAGAATTACAAATAAAAACTTAATACCGTTGTCTAATTACTTCTCTGGGGAATTCTGTGTTTAACTGGTCAAATTACATCCCACTGGAATTACTTTTCCCATTTTAAAGGTAGAGAAACAAGGGAGAAATAATTTATATGGTTATCCATAATGCTGATGACTAGGCTCTGCCTCCCCTTAGCATTTCCTTCCATCACTCAGAACACTGTTGTTAATGATTTGGGCTGTGAAAAAAAAAACCAAACAAAAACAGATTTTTCAGTATGTGCAGGTCCCCAAAACAATCTAGAGTTTTTCCTTTTCCATTTCTATCCAGAGTCAATGGAAGAAAGCCATGAGTATCACTGATAATGGGACAGACGGGATCTTCTTCCGCCCTTAGCATTTCCTTCCATCACTCAGAACACTGTTGTTAATGATTTGGGCTGTGAAAAAAACAAAAAAAACAAAAACAGATTTTTCAGTATGTGCAGGTCCCCAAAACAATCTAGGGTTTTTCCTTTTCCATTTCTATCCAGAGTCAATGGAAGAAAGCCATGAGTATCACTGATAATGGGACAGACGGGATCTTCTTCCGGTATACCCTTAAGGCATTGAAAGACATTTGGATATTCATGGATTCACAAGCCAGGCTCAATGGCACACAAAGAAAAAGAAACATCATAACGTCTAATCAGGGCTTCACTAATTTCTAACTGAAACTTGGTACTGCCATCAATTAAGAGTTCAGGAATCTAATAACATGGTAGTAGTATTAGTGGCTTAATCCTATGTCTGCAGTTCTATACTTTCATAACCCACTGCAGTTGTTAACAGATATGGCAAAATAGCACTTATACTCTTCACTACTTCTTTTGTTGCTTGGTTTGTTTGTCAGATGGCCAGTACAAGGATCGAACTCTGGACTTTGTTGTTATCAGCACCACGCTCTAACCAAGTGAGCAAACTGGCCAGCCCCCTCCCTTTCCAATCATAGTTGTTACTTAGACCCACCACAAGATCTTGCTATCTAATGCACTGAAAAGCACATATTACTATAATGCAGTTCTTGGTGACCATATGTCAATATAATCACTTTCCTTTGTAAACCCATTTATTTTATTTTCTATATTTAAGAAAATTCTGTGAAAGGGTCCACACATCTCATCAGACCACCAAAAAAGGTAAAGATCCCCTAGTTTGTGTCTGTTTGCAGTATCATCAGATTACCATTCAGATGTCACTGTGATATCTAAAGGTGACCTGTCTAGGCTACACCCCCCTTTCCACCTACCGCCAAGACAATTACCTCCATTTGAGAGACAGAGACTCTTTATGGTAAGCCGACCAGATCGATTCTGCTTGTACCTAAAACAGGGGATGAGGAAACACAAGTAGCTTAGCGGACTTACTAATGCAGTGGCTGAAGACAGACTCACGAGAAGGAAAAAAATGGCTAGAAAGAATCGGAACAATTAATTTCCCAGCATATTATGCTAGTGCACCCTGTGAAGAGTACAGAAGTCTGTGCCTTCACTGACCTATAAAGCAGCTCCTGAGCAACTATGTCTCCGTAATCATGAGACAAAAGGTTGATCCTGCGGTTCTGGAGCCCCAGATGCCGCAAAAGTGACTCCACGATGCTGGCCTGCTCAAATATGGAGTAGTGATGTGGTCTCTGAGGAAAGGAAAACCCAGATATACAGGATGAAGTCATGAGTACCGATTTCCCTGTCAGCCTTACCCCACCTCTGTCACATCCACCCCCACACCACAACATGGGTCCCATATAGGTGCTGCTTACCGGTTTGTCACTAAAGCCAAAGCCTAAGAAATCAAGGGCAATCACTCGATGAAACCTCAGGGTCAGACCTTCCCAAATCTACAAGAAAGAAAGGATGAATTCGACTTACTGCCTCTGCCCCTCCCCTCCCCCGAAGCACAGGAGCTTCATCTCTTTATCAGCATAACAGACTTTGATAAAGAGAAAACCTCATGAAACCACCACAGGCACTGTAGATGATCCTCTTGGAAAGTGCTTTATTTCTAGAAATTAATCTCTATGGAGGGAGGAACTCCAGCATTTTTAACTTGGCAGTGATCCTTTCCAGATTGCCAAAGAGTTTTTTACTCCCTTACAGTAAATGATAAACAGTTCAACACTTAATGTTATTTTATTAAGGAATTCGAATTTGCGAGAGCTTCCTAGTGCTGATTAAAAAATCCTTGATTTTGGATTGTTAAAGACATAGTAGGACCTAGAAGTCTGACTTTATTACCTTGTACCAATCATAGCTGGATGTTGGAAAGCCATGTAAAAGCACAACTATCTCCGGACTTCCAACCACACCCACAGAGTCTGGAAAGAAGGAGAGACATCAGTCAGGACAAATCCTTATAAAAATAACCTTGAAGATTTTAAAATCTAAGTAATCTGGTACAAAGGTATAAGAAACCATGACCAAATTAATAACATTAAAATGATACACTCTTAAAATGCAAGCTTATTGCTTTAGGTAAGAACAGTCATTTTCTCCTTTTAATATGTATATTTAAAAATTGTAAATAGCATACTATGTTAAAATACTTGAAAGCAGCTTGCTCACTTTCACCTAGATTTTTTTTTAAAAGCATATCCCCATTTCTCCTTTGATTTTGTATTAATATGAAAATCATTTTTCACAGTAAAAATGTAAACTTTCACAGTTAAAAAATATACAATCACAACATATAAACTACAAATTCTTTGTACCTTATCATTAAATGGCCTCACAAAAATTCTCTGATATAGCAATTCTTCCCAGCAAACACCTTAGTTTATGCTATCTGTCCAGCACTTTATTTCAGCAGGAGACCCATTCCAATATCAAAAGCATAATGTTCAAACTATTACAGGATTCTATCAACTATAAAAAAGGGTTAATCAATATAGACATGACCATTTTAAATGCATATGAAATATGTAATCATTAAACATCTTTTAAATTAGCCAAACATTAGACAGTAAAATGCCATGCTAATAGTACTGGATTAAAACTGATACATTCATATACTGCCAGTAACACGAAAATTTGAAAATAAGATTTTCAAAAATAACTTAGAAGCAATTAAAAATTTTATATACTTTAGCCTAAGAATATTATTCTTAAGACTCTATGCAAATAAAATCATTCCATTTATACAAGTAGTACAATTTGAAAATGTAAGGAAAAAGTAAACTACATACATGAAGTTTTCCCTTCAACATTAACTAAAACTTTGAAAAACTGGAAAAAACCCAAACAACCAACATAAAGGAAAGTATATACTTACTTAATTGAATAGAGCAAATGGGAGGAGGTCAGGAGCAATAATGAAAAACGGTTTATGACAAACATTTTTCGTTATTGCTCTTGACCCCCGCCCAAAAGAAATCTTTTCCAATCTGTTTCTCAGTTTCTTCAACTATGAAATGAGGTAAATGGTACCTATCTCCAAGTGCTATTGTAAAAATTAAATGAAACCATGAGGGCTGAGCATAAACTCAATGCCTGGCATATGGTAATTACTTGATAAGTAGCAGTCAGAGTAATAATTATCATTAACTAATTAATTTGTTACAACAGTATAACACTTAATCACATTTACTTCCACATATAACAAATAATCTTTCTAGAAAACAATTCAATAAAATGAAATTGGGGATACTGTTTTGTCTATGCTAGCTGACACTAGGGGCGCACAAAAGAGAAAACTAGTATCTGAATACAAATCAGGCTATGAAGAAAACTGATAATAAAGTCAGGTCTACAGAGATTGGAATCTCAATTCCACCCCCCACTCTTCCAGCAGTTTTCTGAGTTTCCATGCTATCAAGTGACAGAGGGGAATTAGTCCACTACTTCATATACACTACACAGAAAAAGGGCTTACTCCCCTCCATCACTAAGGAGCAACAGAGACAGCACCTCAGCCGGGACCTAGATGAAAAACCTACGCAGGGTGTTCCAGTAGTCCAGTTCTTACCTTGGTAGAAGATACGTAGTCCCTTGTAGGTAAAAAATTTGCCAGACGACTTCCATGAGTGCAGAGCCGGGGAAAGCTGAGGGGGTGGGATGTGCAGATAGGCAGCAAGTAGGGGCACGGCCAGGAGCCCCACCTGCACCCACCACTCCCTCATCCTGTAGGAGAAGCAGAGACCTGCCATAAGCAGTCAGCGTGACCAAAAACTGATAAGATGGAGTGGGCAATTTCTGTACCATGCAGAAAGTTTACCTAGACGAACATGATCGTACCTTTGCCTGCTACGGCAATCACCATATTTGCTCACCATTCTAATTTTAAGGCAAAAACATTATTTCAATATGTAACCATCCACCTCTGCTCCCCCACTTTAACCTCTCAACCCCTCCCCTTGTGTCCTTCTTGATACCTGCTGAAGAGGTTGTTATGTAAATTAAAGGAAGATTACTTAAGTATTTCACTCTTTCAACAGCTTTTATCAAGAAAAAAATAATAATTTCCTTCATATTTACTCTAAAAGCTCTACAACCTACCCACTGGCCCCCACCAGTAAAATGTTTGATAAAAAAAAAAACAATAACATATATACTTATATGTAGTAACTTATCACATTCTTAAGCAGACAGCTGCTCCTGATTTTTAATACTTAATCAATCTTCTGGCCCAAGTGAAGCCCCATTTGGTACTACTGTCTGGATTTGGGCTGAGAAACTGCTCAGGGCAGAGTCTGAAAATAAGAAGATAGCTGCACTGTATATTACAACATAAGCAGCTTTGTCGTGACCCTGAATATCTAATCTCTTGAGAGGTCAGGGCAGCAGATTATATTCCTGCTTTTCTTTAGCAGACTCTTGAGGAAGTTCTCATTCATTTAATTTTTTTTTAGGACTCTTCCCCCACCTACCCCTGGTAAAGCAGAGCTCATACCCAGCATAAGGGTGTTAGTTTTGTCTTTGGAAGGAGAGCACTGATTTGTGCACCCAACCTTCCCTTATCCAGGACTTCACAGGTCCAGATCAATTTATCCACACTGAGTACTAAACAGGAATTAGAAACAATTCACTCTTTCTAGTCTACGACTCCTGATGGTCACGAGGGAAAGAATTGTCAGTAAAATAGAAATTCTCTCAAAACACCTGGAATGGAAATAACACCCTCCACAACTAAAATTAGAGTAGTCAAGAAAATACAGCTATAAATAAAGGAAATTAATTGCTAAAGCCCTGATGGAAAGGGCTTAGTATCTGTACACACATCCTTCCACCACTCTACCTGGAATCTGGCCACAATCCCTACCCGTTGCAAATTAATCCAACTCACAAAATACTTTTTTTTAACTCTAAAAATAATAAGCCCGTGGTTCCACAATGGTAAAATAACCATGTCCCTTAAAGAATCTCAGCTCCCCGCCTATTTTTTAGGCATGACTAGGAGAATTTTTTTTTTTCCCTCCAAGTATCTGTCCTTAAAATCGACATAATGATTTGGTTATACCTTTCAAGGTAAAACTAGAAATGATTCGAAAAAATGCCTGGACATGAAGGTTATATCACAGTTTTCACACCACAACAGTGTAGCAGGCTACATCCCGAAATGTCCTTGAAAGGTAAGATGACGAAAGGCACTAGGTTCTGATGAGCGTCCTCTCAGCACTGCCTGTCCTGGCCTTCAGTTCGCACGCTTTCACATGCACCTCTCAACACTCCTTTCCTGCTGTGCTGCTCATCGCGTCCATTCATGGCTTCCCGCAGCCAAACCTGCGCAGTGACTCAGCACAGAGCCAGGGAGGGGCTGCCAGAGAAGCAAACGGGGAGCCTTCCCCGCTGCTGGTGGTGCGTGTGTGGCGAGGGGGTGTGCAAAAACAAACCACAAGGCACCCCCGGCTTACACACTCCGCTCCTGGACACCCCACCCTCCACATCCTGCTCCTCTTACTCCAAGAAAGCAAAGAGGCCAACCTTCAGAAAGCCTTTTTCTGTCTTCATTACCTCGGTAAAAATGCTCCACTGACATTTCAGGATTTTTAGTAGTGAAGCGATCTGGCAATCAATAGGCAAAATGGATTACACAAACATTTTTTGGCCAAAATCCCTATTGTTTGATTAGCCATGAGTCGAGAAAATAAATTCAGCAAACTCCAGTAACAAACTTTCTGGAAATTATCCATTCTGAGCCTTGATTTCTTCATCTTGTAAACAGGAAAAAATGCACATACATCTCATACCACTAAAACCGCCCACCTGACGGCATCGCAGTAAGATGATAAACTACTTTGTAAATGTGCTAAGCCAATGCAAACGAGTCCCGTGTAACAGTATGACAGTTCGGTCACACTGTCATCCTCACCTGCGCTTTTCCTCACTGAAATCTGGAAAGTACGCCACGGTGAGATGGCATTGCAAGTCCTCGTCACACCTACGTGGTACTCACGCCACCGCGATACCAGGGTCTTGTAAACCGCACCAGGGCAATACTGGGGTACTGAAATGAAAACTGCGCCAGGATAATAGCCGGGTCTTGAAATCCTAAATTGCACCAAAGGGTCCTGAAATTCTAAATCATACCAGGATGATACAAAGCTTGAAATCCTAAATTTCAGCAAGGCGACGCCGGAGTCTAGAAATCCTAAATCGCACCAGAGTGATCCCGGGGTCCAGAAATCCTAAGTCACGCCAAAGCGCTGACCAGGTCTAAAAATACTAAATCGCACCAGGGCGGTGTCAGGGTCTAGAGATGGTAAGTCGCGCCACAGTGTTGACTGGGTCTAAAATCCGTAAATCGCACCAAGGCGATGCCAGCATCTAAAAATTCCAAATTACGCCACAGCGTTGACCCGGTCTAAAAACCCTAAGTCGCAGCAGGGGAATACTGGGGCCTAAAAACCCCAAATTGCACCACAGCGATGCCAGAATCTAAAAATCCTAAATCACACCAATGCGATGCCGACGTCTGAAAATACTAAATCGCATCAGGGCGATGCTGAGGTCTAAAAATCCTAAATCCCGCCAGGGCAATACCGGGGTCTGGAGAACCCCGCGTTGACCGGGTCTAAAAATCCTAAGTCGCCCTATGGTGACATTGGGGTCTAGAGATTCTAAGTCTCGCCACAGCATTGACTGCGTCTAAAAACCCTGAATCGCACCAGAGTGATGCCGGGGTCTAAAAATCCTAATTCGCACCAGGGCGATCCCGGGGTCTAAAAATCCTAATTCGCACCAAGGCGATCCCGGGGTCTAAAAATCCTAATTCAGAGAGATCCCAAATTCTAAACATTCTTACCGTGTGCAGGCAGAGCAACCTCCAAAGACAAGAACATGCACCGCCCGCCCAGTGGGCTTTTGGCCGGGAGGCAGCCCAGCTCGGGCACACGGCGTCCCCGCCGCTAGCCCGCACCCCCGTCCGGGAAGGCCAGCCACACACCCCGCTCCCGCCACCAGCGCGCAGGCACCCACCTGCGGAGGCGATCTCGGCGCACCATGGCCGCGTTATCCCATGCCGCCCGCCGCAGCGTTGCGGAGCACCGGGCGCGCCGCAGC